GCTGCAGAAGGCTGAGTGTTGGTGGTGATAATGACTCTGAGTCCTCTATGGGTGGGAGAGGCTCAGTGCAGACCACCACCTGGTTGTCTCTGCCACCTTCTGACACAGCTTCAGCACCCAGCTGAGCTGCAACGCCTCAGGGGCATTCAGACTAGAGTTTGTATTGTGTGTGATTAATCGTCAGAAAACCATTAATCGATTATTTTTTGGCATTTGACGATTAATACGATTAATGCCACCAGGCAGAGTCCGCTCTGTGCTTCTGTCTGCTTCAAATATGACAAACGTTTAAAAACAAATCTGTATGATCCTGTTTCTGATGTAAACATAGGATCAGAGCAACTTTTTAAACTCATCTCTTACATTATGTTTTTCCAAGCTGTTAAAGGTGGCGCGATCCTGGTTGTTCACCTGTTCTGTGTTTTGTCATGTTTTTTTCTTGAATGGGTGATCTGAACTGCACTTTCGTTCTACACTGCATCCCTGACGTTATATTTGAATGACAATAAAGAGAATGTGAACTTCATATTTTGTTTTGACTCCTGCCACAACTTCAGCAGAAGCACTGAGCTCTGCTGCACTTGTGACCTGCAACAGCATTTATTTCTTGTGATTATTTGCGTTTGAGTTAAATTATATAAAAGAAGCTTTGTGTACTGGTGAGTAAATCTGAACTGTAGCCTGCAGAACAAGTCAAAACCAAGTCTAATTAAAACAGCAGCTGGGACTCGGACACCAACTCCAAGCGAGCGTGTCCGTGCTTGTAGCAAACTAACCTGCCAGCAGTTTGGGGTACTTCTGGTGGACCAGGTTGGTGAGGTCTCCTCCATCATCCAGGATCATGTTGAGGGGCTGACCGTCTTTGAAGTATATGGTCTGTTCGATGCACCACACGTACTCCTCGTCCGTCTCACCCTTCCACGCGTACACTACAAAAACACGGTCTCTTTATTTTCTGACCTGCGTGAACTTGTTTCATCGTGCATGAATGCGCTGATCTTTCACCGTATTTCAGGTTTGAGGGCGTCAGCGTAAACATGACAACTGTTATGGTTTTTGTTGTCAAAGCTTGAACTTAAATTTTTTTTATCGCATTGCCTCCCTCTGTTATCAAATCAAATTAAATCATACAGTCCCTAAAGTTTCCTGCAGCCACTCCAGGCATCGTGGTGTGCCGTTACCTGGAACGCCTGTTTTGGCGATGGCGGCAGCGGCGTGATCCTGAGTGGAGAAGATGTTACAACTCGACCACTGAACCTGAAAAAAAAGAAGAGAAAACACACATGAGCAAAGACAGACAAACTTATGCAACAACCTTTGTTTGTTTAGCTTTTAGAGACACTTTATTCTGAAAAGCTAACCAGTCAGTTGATGAATCTCTCCTGTAACCTGATTTATAAACCTAAAATGTTAATAATAAACAGACTTTCTGCTGTAATATAATATATAGCTTAAAAAGTATCTAAAAATAAGTAAAAAAAGAAGATAAACTAAAAAAATTATTAAAAGAAAAACATCTAAATATGACATTAAAATAACATTATGTTCTCTAAATCTTTGCAAAAACCTCTTTCATTCAGTTATCTGTATTATTCCACAGGCCAAAAGCTTTCAGTTAGGCAGATTACATCATTTAGATTGACTTTGGTGAAAACAATGATGAAACTTTTTAAACTCGGGAAACTATTTCATCAAAGCTGTGTGGATGTAGTAAAGTGGGTTTATTTTTGTTCAACTTGAACAAAGCGAAGGACATCAGTTGACCAATGTACAGTTAATATTTAGAGGGAAAACAGACAACTGAATGTTTGTTCTGAGTAACTTTTACTGACTCTTATAAAATGTTATTTAAAATGCATTAAAATGATTTTTACAGCAGTGATAATAATCTGGGTTTGTTTCTGAATGCTGCAGCTTTAATAAACTTTAAAAGTGGACATCTGATGGTCCTCTGGTTCTGGTCTGTTTCCTCTCAATAACACGAGTAACTCAATCATCCAGGCTAAATTTCATTTAAGCCTGAATAAACAACAATAGAAAGCAGTAAAAGCAGCCAAGGGGGAAAGGGGGAACTAACAAATCGGGCTGCTGTTGGATTTAAGAGGTTTCTACAGGATCAGACCAGTCCTGGTCAGACAGATTAAACCAGTACGATAAGAGAAAACATGTTGGCGATAAGAAAAAAAAAACACGTTGGCCTTGAGAAACTTAAAAAAAAAAAAAACACTTTCAGCTTGTGTCAATACAAAGATCAATAAATATGTCCCTTTAGAGCGTGTGTGTGACAGAGGACGATGGAGGTGAAAAGATGGAGAAAACTTTACCATTTTATGAAAGAGATCATTTGTTTTTCTTGCATTTATTGCTACAAAATAACAAGCAAGTGAACATATTTGTCTTTTGGTTCCTCCTTTAACATTTTAACTCCCTGTGAACATGGTTTAACTACAACCCAATCAATAGCATCAAGGAGCAGGTAAACGTCACCTCAGCTCCCAGGGCCGTGAGGGTTTCGATGAGCACGGCGGTCTGCAGGGTCATGTGCAGACACCCGGCGATGCGGGCTCCCTTCAGAGGCTTGGTCTGACCGTACAGCTCCCTCATCTTCATCAGGCCGGGCATTTCGTTCTCGGCGATGTCGATGGCCTTACGCCCCCATTCAGCCAGGCTGATGTCGGCTGCAAGAGCGAGAAGAGAGGCGATGGAGAACAAGCTCAAAAACAACAAGCACCCTACAGAACATCGCCTCCTGATCTGTCTTACAGTGGGAAAATGATCTGAACCACAGCTGTGACAACAGGTTGCACTGGCAGACAGACATCTACACAGTGAGTCTTTTCAGTTCCACAGCAGCTGTTGCACAGGTTGTGTGTGTGTGTGTGTGTGTGTGCTGTTCAGCCAACAAGATTCAACATCGTTTTCTTCTTTATGTTCCTTAATATAATGGTGCACTCTCTAAAACATGAGCTTGCACAAAAACGCACGTTAAAACTTAAAGAACAAGCACAGTTAATCTCTTACAGTCCTTGGGACACAGGTTAGACTTTGCCCGCGCCAATCTGTCAAGCATATGCAGATTTTATCTTCTGCTAAACTGCTACAGAAAAACTACGTTCTTAAATATAGATACATTTGTCAACAGCATTTCTTGTTTACCATTCATTACACATTTTAGCTGTTTTTCTATTTTTTTGGCACATTCAAAAAACACTTGTTTTTACTTTTACTAAGTATTTATATATCATAAAAAACATAATTTGACACATTTAGTTAACAAATAAAATGTAGCAGAAAAAAGAAAAAATCTTATTAATATCTGCCACTTTTTTCCCAAAAATAAAAAATTCAAACAATAATAATCTTCAAATAACAAAACATAACAGAAACTTCAACTCAGTCCTTATGAATGCACATTATACTATATTATTCATATACCATTCTCTTAAAACAAATTTATCGAGCCAGCATTTTTATAATCACTTTCCAGATTATTCCAGTCTTATTCCTTGGACTAAAGTTCAATCCTTCAAATTTGTTCAAATATTGAGCCTTAAGATTATAATTACTTACTCTTTTAACACAATTTAATTAGATTTTTAAAAGTAATGAATTGTTGAGCTTTATACATGACCTGCAAAATATTATGATCAACCAATTCATAAAATGTCAATAATTTCAATTGATAAAATAATATATTTGATGGGTGACTGTAATGTTTACTGGTGATAATTCTTACGCCTGTTTTCTGTAAAACACAGATGGGATTTGTAATTGTTTTATATTCATATAAATTGCAGGATTTGTGAGAAAAACTTCAAATCAAAAGCATTCAACTGTCTGAAACACCACGTGTAGTTCCAGCCTGTGTAGCTACAGTCAGCACAACATCTGCCTGTTCCTGTCATTCAGCCTGGCCGAGGCGCGGGGCATCATGGGAAGTTGAGTTTATAAACAGAGCGCTGAGCTTACTGCCTCCGCTAACGCACTACATTACCCAGCGAGTTTCAGGAGATAAAACTCATGCTCGGCGCGATTACGGTGGTTAAATATATTTATATATTCATTTTCAGAACTGAGTCAAAGTCCAAAACCTGCGAAGATTAAAACTAAAAGACGCGGATTTTAACACAATAAGCTAACAACTAAGCTACTAAGAAGTAAATGTTATCAAATGTAGCTAACATGCTAGTAGCAATTTCAAGTTAGCGGCACCGCGGTCCGACAAGGAACATATAATAATAATGATGACGATAATGATAAAATACAACAAAATGATCATGAAAATGATTCTATATTAAAAATAGCTTGAGGCTAATTCGGTCTGCTGCGCGAGCAGCTAACAAGCTGCACACCAGATTAGCTAACAAACCAACACGAAGGAAGCTATGGCCCAATAAAAACATTTTCACTAACCAACTTTGTAGGTAAGTTTCTCAGACATTGTTGTATTTTGGTGTTTCGTTCCGTGGAGCTCGACTGTGGCTGCAGCCTGGCCGACGAGCAGAGGCAGAGAGGGAGGAACCGAATCATGACGGCTCGGTTTTTACCGTCGACGCTCCATTCAGCCGAGGTTCCGCGAGGGGGCGGGGCGAACGAGAATTCGTTCTGGATTTCTATTGGCTGTCGTTGCAGCTCCCGCCCCCGAAAACAAACGGTGTGATTGGATAACGCTCGAACCGATTAGCCAATCAGCAGTTGGGTTTTTCCGGACTTTTTCCTGTTCTGCAAACTGGTATTAATCTGTAACAGAAGACTTTATAAACTACTACAGTTCATCACTTCCAAAAGGGAACGCAACAACACATATAAAGCAATGAATTTTTGCAACTCCTTTAGAGAATCTAATTAAATTTAAATACAAATTGAAAGCTATAATCATTTGCAGCTTCATTCAGGTATTTTTCACATGCTGGAACAGGACTTGACCAGAGCTCCTGACTGAGTAACACTATGCTATAGCTAATTTAGGAACATGTTTCTACTGAAGTGACACCTTGGAATCTCAAGTCTTGTAATTTGGTAAACAAGAAGTAACCATATATACAACTTAAAATGTTCTCGTTTTAATTCTCCTTATTGTGTTGTATTAAAAATATGCAAACAAATCTAATAGTAAGTAAAACAGAGTCAGACAGAACATGGCCAGTGCTCACTCTGAGAACAATATAGGACTGATTTGAGGAAAGGAGGAGCAGACAGATCTCATCTTTAAAGAAGCGTACCAACTGGTTTACTGAGAATGCACCTACAGCTCGGCACGCTAACGCTTGTTCTGTCTATTCTGACTATTAAAGCTAACAACTGGCAGAATATCAGCTTAAAGCAATCATTTTAATCAAGCTAATTTAAAGGGTTGATTTTGAAGTATGAAATCAAACAAAGTTACCCCGTGCCACATCAGATGGAGCGGTTTTAAAGAGTTTACTCCAGTGGTTTTCCAGATACAGATTCTAAAATGCAGGTCTGCACTCAATGTAAACAAACGATTAGTTGAATCTGTGCAAAATGAAATTTTCTAATATTTCTCTTTAACCAATAACATCCAGAGGTCGGCCTGGAGGAGGAGCAGGAAAGTTTTAAGGGAAATTTTAGGAAAAAAATACGATAGAAAACGGAATCATACTCTGGATTTCCCTAAAAAAAAGTCTTCTTTATTATTATAATTTTTATTATTTTATCAATGCAAAGAGTAGCAACAGTACCAAGTCCTTGTTTTGTAATTTGACAGTGACATTCCAGTAAGTCTTACATTTATTTATTTATATTTATTTTTTGCTGCTTATGAGGTTTAGCAGGTTTTTGTCATTTTTAAAGAACATATATATGTATATAAACACAGGAAGCATAAAAATGGCTGTCATGTTGTCTTTCTTCTGCACATATCTGTTGATTCTTCACATTCTCCCAGAGACAAGTCCCATCCTGTCCTTCCACACACCCTCTCCTGGCAGTATGCACCTAAGTGCTAATTCTTGCTCTCTTTCTTTGACACAGATGAGAACCACAGGCTGTTTGGAGAGAAACTTTCTCGCTCTTCGCCTTTAAGTAAAAAGAAGAGTGCCCAGCGGAGGCAAAAAGTTTCATTCTGCGCCGTTCAGCAGAGGAGAAAAGCCTGGGTTTGCATCATCTGAGTCTGCAAACGTGTGCTTACTAGAGGTTTGGCGTATGGTTGGATGTAAGGGTGGAGGTTTTCAGACAGAGCAGCATGCCAGCAGCCATATCAGAGTCCCTGCTGGAACCAGCATGGTGGCAGAAAGACAGACAGGAAGGGGCAAGACAGCTGGCTAGCAGGGGCAAGCTAGCTTAGTTAGCTGCCCAGGCTTCGAGGTCTGCCATGTCGTCTTCGTCCTCCTCCACCTTCTTCTTGGCTTTAAAAGAAAACAAGACATTAGATTTCACATGAAACAAAACCAACGGTGAGTGCTCTGTAGCAGAGATTCTTAACCCGTGGGCCGCGAGCACCATCTTGAGGGCCTCAGAGGAACATTAGTTTTTAATTTTGGGCCGCATTGATTTTTAATAGGGTGCAATACACTTTATCACCACTAGTAGCGGTAGTGCAGCACTCAGATGTTTAACAACTGTTTTAATACGTAGAAGAAGAACCTTTAGAAACCTGCCGAGAATGGAAATGTATTTTAAATGAAAAGTAGACGTCAAAAATGAAGGCAACCCGTTAAAAAAGGCCAAAGTTTGTCACTAATATGAAGAGCAGCTTCTGGTTCTACCATGCAAAAGTTTAAAAGTTCAAACAGTAACAAATACATTTGCAGATACAACTATATTTTAATTTGCACTTTATCAAATAAACTTTTGTTGTTTATTTTTAAACATTTTGAATGTATTTTAAAGAAACTTTAAACTAGTCAAAAAGCTGTTGTTAC